TGGCGTTGATCAGGTGACCAAATATAATCCTTGAATTAGCATATAGAATCGTGCTCGTAATTTGAGTGAGTGAGTGAGTGTGGTTTTACGCCGCTTTTAGCAATATTCCAGCAATATGAAGGCGGGGGACGCCAGAAATAGGCTTCGCACATTGTACCCATGTCAGTAATCGAACCCGGGTCTTCGACGTGACGAGCGAACGCTTTAAGCACTGGGCTACCCGACCGCCCCTCGTAATTTGAATGCCATGCATATTATATTGTGAGTTTTTCATTTGAATTCTCTGCTTCTGCGAGAGAAAGTTGGATGAGAATAGACCGATACGTTGTCCGTCCGTACCCACTCACTCAACAACGACCGCATCCGCGGTCTAGTGGCTCAGCGTCTGCCAGGGCGTTCGATCCTGGGCGCGTCATACCAAAAAGACGTTAAAAAATCGTACTTGTTGTTACCCCGCCTGGCGCCCAGTCACCTAGATTTGTCTTGTCTCTGAAATGAACATATTTTACAGATCATTTAGCAGTTGTTAAATATTATAAATAGTCTGGGCCGTATAACACAGCCTGTATTTGATATATTTGTTTCAGGTCTGTATGACACACCTTCTTTATCTACACACGTTGTTTGGAGCCCGGAGAAGGGGCAAGAATTTGGCCCTGAAACGTCCAGGCAGCTGTGGAACATAACACTTCTAGTAACATTAAAAAACCGGTACGAGGCTTGGAAAACAAGTTGGCGGCCGCTACAAAACCTTGCCTGGATAGAGATTACACACAAAATGTAATAGTACCTCCTCCCAGACGTCATACTGATCTGGTGATATTGATAGGTGGCAGTCATTATGGTATAAGCGGCAGTGTTGATTGTAAGTGGTAGGATTTTCATGAGGCGCTCATAAAATAGCAAGTGTTCTGTTTGCCTATGTATATATTCCAAGGCAGCGGGGCGGTCGGGTAGCCTAGTGGTTAAAGCGTTCGCTCGTCACGCAGAAGACCCGGGTTCGATTACCGACATGGGCACAATGTGTGAAGCCCATTTCTGGTGTCCCCCGCCGTGATATTGCTGAAATATTGCTAAAAGCGGCGTAAAACCATACTCACTCACACCAAGGCAGTTGGTGTAAATGTGACCTCCCTTGATTGTTTACAGTCCATATTGCTAAAAGCGGCGTAAAACCATACTCACTCACTCACTCCAAGGCAGTTGGTGTAATAGTGACCTCCCTGGATTGTTTACAGTCCAAACTCCGTCCAAACCTTGACACAATTGTTAACATCTTTGTATAGAAAGTTTTGCGTTTAAATTTGGAGAATCATCAAGTAAAAACCTGTCTACATTGTTCTGAAAGCAGATTCACTTGAATGTAATCCTGGACTAACCAGTGCATCTATCTCCGAGCCGGTTCTATTTGATAAATTCCAGAGCTACCATAATTCCATTCTGAGCCATAACACCTGGAGCGGTGGGGTAGCCTTGTGGTTAAAGCGTTCGCTCGTCGCGCTGAAGGCCCGGGTTCAGTCCCCACATGGGTACAATGTGTGAAGCCCATTTCTGGTGTCCCCCGCCGTGATTTTGCTGGAATATTGCTAAAAGCGGCATAAAATCCAGCTAGCTCACTCACTCTAAAAGTACCCGTCCAATCAAAAGTTAGATATTTAGTTAGATATTGGCGATGAGGGTTGTGCTGACCCTTTCGGGAAAAGTTTAGAGTTGAGAATGTGTTTTGGGAATTTATCATACTAGAATAAAAAACAGATGACGCTGTTCTGTGGCATCAGTGATTGTCATTGGCAGAAAATGTTTGAAACGCTCATAAAATGTCGAGTACTGTTGTGGCCAGATTCGACAACTGCTTAGTTGCAGCTACCTAGATTGGTTGTTGATAAACATAGCAAGTTTGATCAGGTCAAGAATTGTTGTTATGGGACAGTTTTTAGAAAACTGGTTGTAGACTTCCACGAGTGACCCAAGGCCGGTTGATTCTCTGACCTGATTAATTGCGCCAATTTGCCAATTGCGGATTGGATACGGATTAGAAAACACTTAATGTTCCTTCCAGCTTCTGACACTACTTTCACGGGCCAAGCACGGGCCTTTTTGAAACATTCGACAGTGACAAATTCTAGACATTCAATCGTGCACTGACTTTTACAATAGGGCCTTTTATCTATTTAACCAATTGTATCACTTTGACGGTAAACCTTAAACTGTGTGTTTCAATAAAATCTGTTGATCTTGTATGGTCGTATAATGATTTTCTTAGTTTAGTTTAGTCTGACTTAACCCCTGCATTATAGTTTGGAAATCAACTCGTAACAATTGCAGTAGTCATTCAAGCTGACAAAAATGAAGGGGTCATTTTCAAAAGGGGCGCAACAAACTACTTAATGATCCTTACTCTCAGCGACATTAAACATTAAACTTTCATTAATTTCTTATTTCTGTCAAACAATAATCAAAAGATTAAACCAAACACTTCTAACCGTCAAAAAGCGGTTGGACTGAGGCGATGTTTCGTCCATGGTGGCAGGGAGGCTGTAATTGGCTTGCTCTTTCGCTTGCTAATTAGTTGAATGGGAGAATCTGCCTTCGTCTGTCCAATCGAAAGACTCGCCGTCTTTTGGATACTTTGTTTCTGTGAAAAGTTCGTCTTTAAACCCTCGACACTGCCGCTGTGTTTATGATTATCCGATATGGGAATAGAAGGCATTATCTTGTCATTTATACACAATCAAACAGCCTGTTGTACGTGTCAGATACTGCAACAAAATTCTCTACACCCATACCTATTACCTGAGCTTAAAAACGGGAGTGTCATGAAAAACATTTCCATATTCATAAGACATTTGTACGATTCCAACTACAGCATGAGCCTGTGTTCATGAATCACTCTTAAATAGTGATGATACGTTACGCGAAAAGCTGATCGTATCCTGCCCCATCGGTAGCACCCGTCACAAAAACATGCAAAGGCAAGTCAAATGTTCACCTAAACAAACACGGGACAGGGACGGATCCAGAATTTTAAAATGGGGATTTCCACTCCGGCCATTTGTACTTTCAGTTTGGGGAGTTCACCAAAAACAATATACGATATGTAAACCATTATTGAGTTTACAACCAATTCAACACGTTATCGCGGTGGTCAACCTATTTTCACATTTAAAAAAGAGAGGGTTGTCACCCACTGAAAACCACTTCGCGGGAACATATACTACAAGTCACAATATGGAATTTCATCGAGCATCATTTGTTGTCACCGAGGCATGCCCTGCACATCTACCATAAAACATTTTGATTCTTCACTGAGGCAGTCAATGTTGTAACCTTGATCAAACAACTGAGCAAGAGTCGTATGAAACTCTTTGAAATCCTCGTTATAAGGGTATGCGCGATTGATTGTAATGCTGACATCAAAGGCTGGAGCTGCTGGAATATTGCTTGACACAGAGGAAGGGTCGACCAATTGGAAACTCATCGCTCTTGTCATATAGTCTTGCAAAGAGCTTTTGTCGCTTTGAATCTTTATGCAAAGATCTAAATATGAAACAGAAGCTGCTGTATCATTGGTCTCCATTATTTATTCTTTTTCAGAAAGGTAAATCTTTGAAAGGGAAATGGCGAGATGGTTATTGAAAGATATCGGGTATCAATACACCTGAAGCCAAAATTAGCTTGATTTGACTTTGCCAATCCGAGCAGAAATTCTCATCCATCAGCCATAGATAGATATGTAACTGTATCTATGATCACCACGCTTTGTACCAAAAGCCCCATGAATCATTACGTTTGTCACGTTGAACAGTAGTATACAAAGTTCAAAAATCACAGAATTGAACATGGCTCTTTTCCGAGATTGTAAAATGTCAACCAAAACCTTTGAGCTTTTTGAGAACCCTCATGGTATTAATTCCATATGTCTCAAATACTTTCTTTGAATATGAAGAAAGTCCTTCCTTGATTGTATTAAGGATTATGGTTAATCTTTGCCACAGGGATTGGATGGGGCATTTGCTGGACCCTGCAATACCACACTCTTTGTACGGATTTTCTGGAATCCAGTACAAAAGAGAAAAGGACATGTCTTCAGGGTTTTGAGTCAATCCAAAAGTTAATAGTACTGATGCATGGTTTAGGCTGTCATCTCCCTCAGTTAACATCCTGGCCTTATGTGTGGTATTATGGGAGCCAGTTTTGGATGATAATATTTGATATGTCACTTATACCAAGTTCTTTGGTCAAACAACAATCTTCATCATCAAAAACAAGCATATCTTGGTGTAGATGTAAATGTACATGATACTTGGCTCATGGGAGTAGTGTTTATTAAAAACAGAACAGCTAAACCGTTTGTTTGAATGGGCTTACTTCCTTTTCTGTTAAGTCAGCGCCCCTGTCAGTTAGTCTGATGCTCATTTGGACAAGACTCATTAAACGTAAATATGAATGAAACTACTACTACTGCATGATATTTAATTAATGCTCCACTGTTTTTCAAGGTCAAGATTACTCAGTGTGAAATAGGTCTAAAAAAGTGTGTACATCATAACTTGAGTATTCATGATTTGAATTTGATAACACCTGATATGTACGATGAAGGTCACTCATGAAAGGACTTGTAAATGTCATTCAGAAAGTATTGTCAGTATGGTATGGAGAAGTCATATTAGTATTTCCCGCATAAGTGTGGAATAACAAATATTTTCTCGTGTGTTGGAAAAGGTTGAAGGTGTCAAGGTCCCCTGTGTGAAGTAGACCTCACATTTTACAACATGTAATGCAATTGATCTCTTGTGCGGGGTCTCCCAAACCGGAAGTGGTGCAATTAAGCCTGAAGTGTTCATAACCTTGTTGAGGTACCAAGAAGCATGGGAGTTTCAGTTTTAAATTTCCACTGCATTGACAGGGGTTATCTTTACCAAACCGGAAGTGCTTTCAATGAACCAAAACACAAAAATCCAAATGGTTCACTATACATTGTTCAATTAGACACACAGTAGCTACAGTAACAGATACACTTGAATGACACTGTCCCTTTCTTCCTTTGGCCACACTCCATTCTTCTTCACGTTCTTGCCACTGCTAGTCGAGTTCCAATGCTTGACTGGGGTGTTCCAGTTGTGGCCGTAGCTGGCTATGATGTAAGGCAAAGCAGGACAGGGGACGCGTACTCGGATACCCATAAAGTGAGTCCAGCAAACTTCAAACTTCGGTAAAATGTACCTGAAATACAATTCTATTCATGAAATACATTACAGACGATGTCTTCCAGACATTGACAGTGTCCATCACGCTGAAAACTTATGAATATGCTCAGTCTGTTCTGGGTTTGCTGGTGTGGAGCAAATCATTGGCAGGTGGAGACTTCATAGGTTTATTTCTTGAATCCATTGGGCATTTGTCACTTGAGGTGGTGACCACAGACATATCTATCTTCAGGGCTTCAGGACCATTGGTCAAAAATGAAAGCCAATGTCAATGTGTTAAACACTGGACTTGGGGCCTCATTCGTGCCCCCTCCTTCCTGATCAGTGTCCCTGTGCTCAGCTTTACAATAACAAAGAAGTTTGACTTAAGTTTCGGCTATATCAATGATCTAATATATAGAGGTTATCATGCGAGTGTATTTGGGGAAGGTCAATGTCCTGTATTACGAATAAACACCAACCTTGTTTGTTGTGATGGGTGGCTACTTTTGGACGGGATATGCACATCTGGTATCATCAATCTTTGACAGTAATTCATAAACACATGCATATGATATAGTCGGAATAGTACAATGTACTACCATAGATTTCTTATGATAATGGAAAAGGTTTTGTTGGATGTTAAAAAAAGATGCCACCGCTCATCTCTGTGGACAACACCATTTTAGCCAATGGAATAATCCCGGATATGACTGTTTCCCAAAACAACTAAAGTACTGTCATGTTTTGCAAACCCAAATATGCGAGTGTGTATAATGTTAAAAAAGGTGTAATGTTTTTGTAATAAGAGGAAAAAGTCGAATGTTTGTACTCACTTAAATTTACGGCCACTTTTTGGTTCAGTTGCTCCATACCATTGGTATGTCTTCGCCGCATAGACGAAAAACACATCAACCTTGATGTGAGCTACAACCGCAAATGTGTAACTATCCGATGGCTGCAACAGACACACAAGATCTATTGTTTAAGGATATTGCTACTTTTGAGGGTATACAAATCTTTGCAGATTTTGATAGATTGTAACATCATTAATGCAAATATTGTATACAGACCATTCAAGGCAGTGAGTAAATAAGTTTTAGTCTGAAACGATAATACAGTGGAGGTGGAGACTATATATACAGAGGCTCCGTATATGGGCTTGTTGGAGGAAATTACCTCCAGAATTACACGGCGGGATTGGACGAGTCCACATTTACTACCCGGGTACCAACCCCCCTATTACCCGACTCTACCCGGGTACCCACTGTCGGTCTAGAGATAAGTACAAAAGGTCCGATTTGGATTCCTTTTACCATAGCCCTGGAAAAACGCATTTAGATACATGTGTTAAACAATCTGGTCATGCATACACTGAAGTGGACTTCAGTTATATCTTTATTCAACCATATGAAAAATCAGAAAGAAAGGGTGCATGGTCAGAAAGAAATGATTATTGACCTGTAGTGTAACAATAGAGTTCCAGATAATTTTTGTCATTAAACAATATATCACGTGACCAACCACGGGTCCAGATAGTCTGGGTATGGATATCCGGGTCCTACTCAGTACCCACCCGACCCGGGTACCCGAGTTACCCGCCCCAGCTTCTTATAGTAAGAACAGACCAAATCAAATTTCCTTAAAGAAGGGTTTTAAACGACTGTTCTAAGATGAGTTAAAATACTCGCCAAAGGTTTAAGGGCAACTCTAAAGGAGAGTTAAAATTAAAATTACTGGAAGAAGGGTTAAGACATGACTACTCTAAGAAGACTTAAACACAAATTGCGCTAAAGAAGGGTTTAAACACGACTATTCTAACGGATTACAATTCAGAAGAGTTTAAACACAAGAACTCTAAAGAAGATTTTGAATCAATCATCCCCAAAGAAGGGATGAAATCATACTATCTTTAAGTAGAGTTTAGACCCTTCTCCACAAAATCATACAGACTCACCTTCCCTGTCACTAACACGAGTTTAAACCCTGCTTTCAAAAACGCCGGTATGATGCTTGTGCTGTACTCCTGAATGGGAATCTCAATGTCTATATCAGTAGTATGAGCGATGAAACCACACTGTCGATACCAACCTGTTGAAGGTAAGATAGAATAGAATCACAGCAAAAAAAACGCAGTTTCCGGTATCCGGATACCTTCCGGATACCACCGGACACTTACCCAAAACGCGTCCGGGGATCCGGTGGCAGATACCTTGCCGGATACCAGATCCATGGTATCCGGCATGGACACCTCAGCGGAAAGCATGCCTCATGGAATCCGGGTATCAGACACCGGATACCTTACCGGATATCTCAATCTGGGTGTCCAAGTATCCGGCACCGGATACCTCACCGGATACCTCAATCTGGGTTTCCAAGTATCCGGCACCGGATACCTCACTGGATACTATAATATGGGTGTCCAAGTATCCGGCACCGGATACCACTGGATTCCTAATTCTGAGTATCCAATTATCTGGCACCAGAAAGCTAACATGACGTCGAGATATTTTTGCAAGAAACGTTCCCCAAACCAACAAGTTCATTTCATTTGGTAGAAAATGCTCTCATATTTGCTTTGATGTACTCCTCAATCTGATACCTAGGCAGGATTCCAAGTTCGACTGATCGAACGATTCCCTTTCATAGTTACATTTACTTCATGAACAATGATATATTCACAAAATACTGATTGCCATAAGTGTCATCAAGCGAGATCACCTTAGGTGTTATCACAATGCCTCCTCTACCATTATGTCACTAGTATGTGTGTCACATCATCAACGTTCATCTATCACTTCACTGAATGCATGACCTCACAATCCAATAACATCACAGATCTTTGCCACTACAGCTTTCTGGCTGTATTTGACTTTGAACATACTTTTTATGGAAATAGTTTCAAGTGGGAGAAATAGAATATTCTTCAAGAAATGTACAAATATTCAAGTTAAGCCTCAGATAGTTTGCTTTTGTTGCAGACAAATGTTGATATATATAATCTCAGAAGACACTCAGGTCAGGTTATCTATATTGCAATATTCTGTGTTCTAATTCTTTATTCATGTACATGTGTAGGCCAGCGGCCCATGGTACAATATTTGGTCCATCATAAACATTTATAGGCTTAGTGTTTGGAGTCTAACATTCATAGCATGGTATATAAAAGTTGCAACATTTCTAATTACAGTTTCATTGTTTACCGCCATAAGCATATTGAATTTAGCAAGAGTAGGATGTACAAAATACTTCTGTGGTAAATACTGAAGACGAAGTTCATCATAAGAGTTACAAATTAATAAAAAATGATATTCATTCTCGACATATCTTTGGTTGCAACTATTGCACAATCTCTGCTCTCGTGGAGTATTAACGTATCTACCAGTCTCAATATGGAGAGTATGGGAGCTACAGCGAAACTGGGCTAGTGCAACACGAAATTTGTTGATAGTGATAGCAGACAAATACAACTCTAGACTGAATGAATTTTTGAAAAGTGTATAATGGAACATTTTAGAACTCTTTGCTAAAGACCAATGCCAGTCCTGTTCGTAAGCAAATTTTAACCGATCTTCACATTCGGAAATAAATGATTCGGGGCAAATAACATATTGGTTCTCCCATATATATCCAAATCCAAGGCTGTATAAAAGAGTTTTGACTTTTGTAGCCCAATTAGTTTTACCATGTGTGGCTAGCTGAAATAACATATCATAACTTTTCTTAGGATATCGTGAATTTGGTAGGGACATAAGTTTACACCAATATTTTATACAGCGTTTATACGCAGAAATGTACAGTGGGTATCTTCCACACTCTCCTCGCACAACATGATTGGGAGTAGACGTTTTAACACCTAGCAGACGTTTACAAGCAAGTACATGGATACTTTCTATTTCTTTGCAGTTTTCAAAACTCCATATTTCAGCCCCATATAACATAATTGGAGCAATTTTAGTATCGAATATTTTAAAAAATAGTTTCAGTGGAATAGGTTTAAGTGATGAAAGGGATTTTAGAACCGAGAACAATACCCGTTTAGCCTGTAATGAAGCATTGTAAGTATGTTTCGACCATGATAAATTCTTTGAAAATACAACTCCCAAATATTTGTACGATGATACACATTCCAACTGACAACCAGTGAAATACCATTTCTCAGATCTAGAAAGTACACCACCATTCTTAAAAACTACTATTTTCGACTTATCAAGATTTACATTTAGGGAATAATTCTGGCAATAGTGTTCGAGTACATCGATGCGTTTTTGGAGGCCATATACAGTATCTGATATAAGAATTACATCATCAGCAAAGAGTAGCAGGAATAGTTGAATTATGTCTGGATGGAGCTGGATTCCGGGTTCACAGTTAGCCTCAATTTCAACAGCTAGATCATTGATAAACAATGAAAACAAAAACGGGCTCAGTACACAGCCTTGACGGACACCCAAGTCACAATCGAATACATCTGAGAAGTTATTGTTAAACTTTACACAGGAACGTACAGTCGTATATATGGATTGTATACATTTAAACATTTTAGGTGACACACCACTGTTATTCAAAACTATCCATAGTTTTGATCTGTTTATAGAGTCGAACGCTTTGGAGAAGTCTACAAATAAAGCATATAGTTTACCTCGCTTCTTCCCCAGATAACGCTGTATAACTGACTGTAAAATAAACATATTATCAATTGTGGAATAGCCACAACGAAATCCTGCTTGCGACTCCACAACTTTATCATAGGCATCACACCAAGACTGCAACCTTCTATTTAGAACAGAAATATATAACTTGCTAAAAATACTTAATACTGTAATCCCTCGGTAGTTATCGGGTGTATTAGTATCCCCTTTCTTGTGTAATGGTACAATTTGGCCAGTCGACCAGGAAATCGGAAAATAAGCGGAATCAAATATAACGTTAAACAGACAGGTAATATAGGGAACTAACACATCGCATGCGTATTTGAACATTTCAGCAATAAGCTTATCACTGCCGGCAGCTTTGCCTGTTTTCAATTTGTTAATTGCCTCAATTACCTCCTGCTGTTCAATTGGCGAGTCTAAGATAGATTGAGTTAAGTCATCAAAATTGTTATCTGGCACAGTGTTATCTTCATCCCCCATTTCTGAATCGAACAACCCCTTAAAATGTGAAAACCATTGCTCAATATTTATATTTGAGCAATGGTTTTCACATTTTAAGGGGTTGTTCTGTGATCATTGTACTTAAACTTGGTTTAATGGAAAATATAACGCTTAATTGTACTTGAGGGTCCTGTTTCACAATGCATTCAAAGTGTTATGATCATACATCATGTAAGGAAATATGCACTTTAGAAAATGGGTATAATTCCATTCCAAGTATATACCAATAACATACCAACACCATAATACTATATACTCATACTCTAATCATGTTTTTAAACTCAAATGACTCAGTAAAAATAGTTGGTGTTATTTACTGAACTGATTTATCCATCTTTTGTCAGTTAATGAGCAAACACCTTTAAGAGGTACCTTACAACGTAGACTATCTAAAACAAGGACATACCTTGAGAAGACAATGAAAGATCCATTTTACAAACAACCACAACATTATTGCAACATTAACAATTTATTTATATTGAAAACATTTCAATTCCTGACGCTTAAAGATAATGTACATGTATATACAAATAATTAATGTAACAACATGTATCATTAATGAGGGCTTGACAAGATAAAGCCAATGAAAAAATATTGATATTGATGGATACTGTATATGGATGATAGTCAAACAGAAAGTCACACGGAACTAAAAGGATCTCCTCCTCTTCGACTTGTGAACTGGGGAAAAGTCGCAGAATAGTCTTGATGTTGGTGTTGATAGGGGTGTTGATGGGGGTGTTGAAGATGAAGATGTTGAGGAAGGGGTTGACGGAGCATCTGGTTGGCAAGATGTGTCAGAAGGAGTGGAGAAGAATGGGGCAGAGGATGCTGTGGCTCGAGAGGATGTGGATGGAGTGAATGGAGGTGATGACTCAGGGGTTGATGGGATTTTCCTCCTTGATATCAGGTTGTTGCCTGCAAAACAATGAAAAACGTTAATAAAAACAAAAATAGCTTCAAACCAAACAGAAGAAAATATTACAGGAAGGAAATCTATACTCCCTTGAACTGATTCCAGACATGAATATTACTATGATTCACCTTCAAGTATATATAATGAATAAAACAAGGCAAAATGTGAGCAGGACTCCTAACCCCTGACCTCGACTAAAATAGTGGCATTATCCAATATATCCCTGCCCATTTAGGTCAAGTTTATAATTATGATCTACCACAATCCATTAAGAAATGAAACTCGCACCTCTTCAGTTGCACAGATAAGATCAGCAAAACATGTATTTTGTTTAAAATTTATTGAAATAAAAATAGCATGGTACTGCAATTTTGCGTAAAGTATGAAAACAATCTATGCAGAAATTCTCAATGAAGCAGTTGCAGTAGGCTCCCCAGGGAGTAAAGATCATAAGGTAAATATGGTATGAGGTGATTGTGTCTCGAGACCAAGGGAACACCAAAAAGCGCCTTGAGCATATAAATCATAAGGGTATGTGGATATGTGTCCTAATATAATATGTTTATTTTTTAAAATCAACAATGTACCTGTCCGAATGGCATAAAAAATGTTGGAAAAGAATCCATGAATTAGTTTTCGCCAAAAAATGGTCAAATAAAAATAAGTCCCATAACATGAATAAGGCAGTATTGTTTTCAGAATTGTTCCCTGAATTTAAAAAAGCCATGCAGTATTTTTTGAGTTACAGGCCGCACAAAAGGTGTCCTCTGAAGGACGGAAAGAATACCCTGGTATATCTATATACAACCGCACTGTTAAGTCGGACCTATAACTCCCAGGCATGTCACAGTAATTGAATGTCAAAATAAAGACTGAATGATGCACATGTTTCTGAGACAGAAAACGGAATGCAGATAATCCACATGCCATGTATAATGTCTAATAATGCAAGTACCTCTTTGTTCCTTGTACCTTACTCGAATGGCCCATTCCGGCACCCGACCAGATGGACTGTCTCTGAGCATCTTGGATGGGTGGTCCTGACGCATGTCTTTTCCCCTGATGATGTCCAGCTGTTCCTTAATATCTGTCATCATGGGGGATTCCCAGACCAGAGGCAGCACAAGTTTGACTGTCTCATCATCCTCATCAGATACGTCTGGAGACGTACACTCCCTTGTCAGGATCCCCTTTGCCCTGCGCCTCCAATCGTCAGGTCTCTTACTCTTCTCTAGAGCCTTGACTCTGTCCTTAAGCTTCTGTATTGAAAATGAAACATGTTTGAAATAGCTCTAACTCATCCACACAATAGCTAGCTCACATCATCCTTGCAAAAAGTTAGCAAGGCATGACAGCAACAGAGATAACATACATTAAAAGAAACTTTGGGTGCATAACTTTACTATAACAGCACCATACATATTCCATGAGACATTTAATAATACAGTGGGTCAGGCTCATTGCACTTACATAAATATATTATTCCTGAGCACTTCTAAATGTCTGAAACAAACACTGTATATTAGGAAAGACATGGCCACGATATTATAAATACCTGATTCTGATATTTAAACTTACACTTGTTCTTCTCTTGTTTCTTCTGTTATTTAGCCTATGTTGTTCTTTCTTGCCAGTGATTTGTCGGTGATTGTCGTCCCTCTTATTTTTCCAAACTTGTTTGAACGCCTCTGGAAAACAAACAGGTAATTTTCACATGGTCACAAAGGTCATAACATTTCATCCCATATGTGGGCCACTTATCAAATAAACCTTTTCAAATTGAGTTCATCACATCATAGCACATGTCTAAATATTTAATTTAATTTAGAATACAAATTTAGAATTAAGAACCCCCATCTCATAATTAGGTAGCTGATAACTTACCCTGTTCATGCAAAGAGATAATATTTTATTGTTTGTTTTGTTTAGAATCAGTTTAATGCTTTAATGCTAAGTTCTTCCAAGTATACCAAGCATTGCCTTGTTATGAAAAGGTTTCTTCATATCAATTTGACAATAAAACTGATGTTTTGTCATGTAAATGGCATAAAGCTAAAGCTGCTAAATGCAATATGAGAAATTGATAATGTAACTGAATCAAATGTTAAAAAATGAAAGTATGAAATGTAAACCACTGCAATCAGATAAATGACTTTCCATGATTGTCAATTAATCAGGAAAATATATTCATTTTTCATCATAGTCACATAGATAAATGCAGAACTACAGGCAATATAGCAGATATTAGCTTTAAAAAACAGTTGATTAATGAAACTACAAGTAATATATAGGATTTAGCTTTCTTACACAAATTACTTTCAAATAAGTTAAATGCTAATAAGATTTAAATAATATGTATCTTAACTAGAAAGTTTCCTTGGAAAGGTGTATAAAGATTGTTAAAACAATCCTATAAATCATTATGATTTTGATGTTTGAAAGAAGGCAAAATTTGGTTAGTATTTTCCTATCACAAACACTTGTTACTTTGTCATTTCACACACTGCATCATTCTATGATGTCACAACAGGGATCAAAGTATTATTTATAAGTTAAACCTCAGTAAGCTATGTCTACTTTTTATTTGTTCATGTGTTAGGCACTTAGAGGTGGTCGGGTCGCCAAGTGGTTAAAGCTTTCGCTTGTCATGTCGAAATCCTGGGTTAAATTCCTGACAATGTGTGAGGTCCATTTCTGGTGTCCCCTGCCGTGATATGGCTAGAATGTTGCAAAAAGCGGCATAAAACCATACTCACTCCTCTACTTAATGCTTAATAAAAAAATCCTTTGGCAACACCAGAACTTCTAAAATTTCCCTTAAGTTGAATGAAAGTATTGACATTAAGAAATCATTGGTACTTCAAATTTTATAAACAAAATCCAACACAGATTATTAATATTGACTTACAACTATTGTAGTGCAGGGATTGGAAACAAGTCCCCCTTCCTTTAATTGATCCTTGTGCTACAACCCAACATTCCTCAAGGGGCTATTCAGAAATCAAACATGTCACACTACATGCTTGGCTATATATATTGAATTCCCCCTACTTAAGGGGCGGCCGGTAGCCTAGTGATGAAAGCATTCACGCCAAAGACCTGGGTTCAATTCCTGACATGAGTTCAATGTGTGAAGCCCCCCCCCCCCCACCACCACCACCCTGTAATAATGCTGTAATGCTAAAAGTGACATAAAACACTCACTCCTCTATTTAATGACACAAACACCTTTTGCATTCCAAACCCAAGTGGTTCCCATTGTAATGCAGGGCTATTAACTGAATGACTTTCACTGATACTTACCACTCAGTGTCTCAATGTTTGCCCATGGCTTCCCAGAAAAGTTCAGCATGATCTCGCGAACCACCCGGTCTTTAGCTCGTTGAACTTTGCAATCATCAAAGCTGGGAAAGGAAAAGTTGTGGTATCCACCTTTAGCATCATTAGTTATCTTGTGGGTAAAACTACTAAGTCAAACCAAAGTATGTAGAAAATTCTGGCCAGGCCCTGATGTTTTGGAAAAACATTTTCTTAAAAACTAGTTCTATGGATCCAACAACCAAAACAAGGTTTTATTTAATCATACTGATGCGACATGATGTAAAGTTACATTAAAAAATCAAATATTGTTATGACCTTTCTATAAAATATGTTTTACAATTTTAATTTATTGCACAGCACATCATCTGATAGATCTAGTTGAGGATATTTTAGGCAGACAGTACAAAGTAATTCATAGTCCCTGCCATCCACATTCATCTTCGCCAATAACAGTGATAATAAATATACTACATTTCCGTTTATTTCATTATTTCAAGCATGCCATGGATCTAATTATGTTACGATGTAGTGGCGTGGTGTACATCGTTATTATTTCTAATAAAATTTAAGTTAGAAATTATTTTGCGTGCTGTATAAGTGTATTTTGAGTCTAACCTTTTGAAAATACACAGCTGTCTATTTTAAAAACACGCCATCATAATTTGTAATGGGTTTTTTCCCCAAACGCCAAGACATGACATTGAGTACATAACACCGGAAATACTAGGGCGGCTACAAATCCGTAAAGAAGAATGTAAATTAATTATGTAATTACACGATCTGGTCATTGTATCTGGACTTATGTTTGCTTACGAAATTTCGACGAAATCGTTTGTAAAGTGAGCGGTAGATCGCTCAACTCACCGTTATTTCCAGCAACCTCAGTCAGACTACTGCTATGGACGCCTTGAAACGGACTATGTTCGACAGAGAATGGATATATATATCTAAAGTCGTTCATTGACTCGTTCACAGTCACATTTGATGTAGTTTGACTATATGTCAACATAGAGTTTTCTTGATCGGAAGTACTTGAGCCTCGACGGTGACTGGTCAAATTGTTCCATACGTAAAAATATCCTATCAAATCCTATCAATTTATGGTTATTATTATTTCCACATTTATAGTAAAGCTGCAACGAAAATGAAACGGTATTGGAATATGTTATTCCTGATAAAATAATAGTTTCAGATACATTTCTGTCGCTTATTTGCATCAATATTTGTAGAAGGTTTATTATTTGATTATTGTTAAACGAATCACCGGTAGATACGAGTGTACAGCTGATTTCTGTTTCCGGCTGGCTAAGTTTGCAGTTTTAATTGGCTAGGGCTTTAAACCCACGTATGAGTCTCATGTCCGTTATTCAGTTATGGTCTGACGAGACACATTCGTGATACGAGTTGAAAGCGCCACGATCACGTTTTTTTGTTTTTTTTTTAAAACAGCTCTAGGACTAGGAACATAATTCTCACAATGAAAATGTTATCCATCTCTAGATCTCTATGAGGTTTCACTTGTGCATGTTTTATACAGCAATATCGAACCCTGCATAAATGTGAAACGAATTAAGGTAGATCTACCTCTCATACTCCAACTCCAATGGGTCATCCGCATCATCACTCAGTGCTTGTACCACCTTTCTCACCAAAGACTGAAAACATAATATGTAAATGTGTAAACAATAAGAATAACTATGCCTTATACCATTTGTCATACACAATTCATACTAGTTTTAAAATAATAATAAACTTGATACGAACTTGAGGGACGCCACAAAAACGTAGCAGCAGAGTCGCCCAATCGATCAATCTGACCGTGGAACTCGAACTGTTAAAAATCAGCTCAAAGAATATATTTATTGCGACATCAATGAGTTCCCAATGAAAGCTGAGGTATTTCACCCAAATATTTCACATTATTATCTCAAACCAAAGAATACTTTTACTGTGTTTGATAAGCACCATATAAACCCCTATTTTGGGTGAAACAAGTGTCCGTGGCTGTTTCGGGATTACCATATAGTAGATTGATCAAACATTACTTATGTAGGCAAACATGAATAAATGTGTATATGAAGAATCTGAGAATAGGCTAGCTTTAAGTTTTACACTATTAAATGTGCGCGGACATGTAAGAATTTTTTCGGATTTTGGTGAATGTGATATATCAATACATATACCAGGGGGCCCAGTTCTTATAACTGTCTACGATTAAATAATTAACTCATGACGTCCCTTTTTTCCGCTGCACATACCTGACAAAAGCGAACATGTGGGCTCTTTGGCCTGCCTGATGTCGGCTTTGCTGTATAGGTGGTGAACTTTTCCTGGAGGTCTTTCACGATGGAGTTGGTGTCGTCCAAAATAGACTGCATCCGGAAGAAATTCTATGAATATAATGGTTCAGATTTCCTCACTTATTCCCATCATTTTGGAGTGATGCTCAATGTGGACTGGTTCCAACCTTACCAACGCAGACAGGACATATCAGTGGGAGCATTATATATGGTGTTCATGAATCTTCCACGTGAAGGGCGGTTTAAGAAAGAAAATTGTATTTTGATTGGTGTTATTCCTTCCCTTAAGAAAGAACCTGAAAGTTTAAATAATTTCTTGTCACCCCTTGTTTGTGAACTCAAGGCACTCTGGAAAGGTGTTCTGATGGCTATTCCTGGATGTTCAACTCCAGTGACAGTTAAAATGGCACTTATGTGTGCAGCAGCTGATATTCCTGCAGCACGCAAACTGTGTGGATTTCTTGGTCATGGAGCTAATCAGGGATGCTCGTCATGCACCAAACCACTCTGGTCAAATGGAGAACGTGATTGTGGCATCCCTGATTTGGGGAAATGGCCAAATCGTTGTAGGTCACAACATTTAAAATATGTCAAAAGGATAGAAAAGGCAGATTGTCTTTCTAGAGCTAAAGAAATGGAAAAGTAGTGTGGATACAGGTACACATCTCTCCTTGATTTACCATATTTCGAACCATCACAAATGACGGCAATAGACCCTATGCATAATTTGTTTCTTGGTACAGCTAAAAAGATGTTTAGCTTTTGGGTTGAAAAGGAACTCTTGACTAAAAGGAGTCTTGCTTCACTTTCTTCAAAATCATTTGAATCATTTAATGTTCCTTCCAATACTGGCCGTATTCCTGTCAATATATCTTCAAATTTTGGTCAAATGACCGCCAAAGAATGGAAGAATTGGGTCCTTGTCTTTTCTCTTTTATGTCTTGATGGATTGTTACCCACTATACACCTAAAGGTATGGCAGACCTTTGTACTTGCATGCAAACATTTTTGTCAGCCCTGCATTGAAAAGGTTAATCTTGTAATTGCTAAGAATCTCATGGTCAAATTTTGTACCCAAGTTACTCAGCTGTATGGTGCACAGTTTATTACACCAAATATGCATTTGCACTGCCATTTGCATGAATCTGTTAGAAACTTTGGCAGCATGTATGGTTTTTGGCTTTTTAGTTTTGAAAGATACAATGGAATCATGTCTGATTTTCACACAAATAAGAAAAATATTGAAGAGCAGTTAATGAAAAAGTTCTTAATGTTCTCAACTACTACAGAGGAAAACTTGGATACAGAATTTCATTCACACTTGAAACGTCTTTCCTACTCATCTATTTCTCCTATTCAGCTGACCAGCTCTGGTTTACTCACACTTCCAACTTCTATGATTACCGACATTAAGACAGATTGTTGGAGTGATTTGACACATATTACTTTCAGACATACTGTAGGCTCACCAGTAAGTGTAGTTGGGAAAGAATTCCATTACAACTTGTGTAAAGTGTATTCTTATATGTACCGAAGGGAAGTATCTGTGGATAATGTTTCTGGTGTGTGTACCAAGTACTCATCAGTACATTTCAAGAATGAATCTCTGGGTAGTGTATCAAACAAACAGCCTGACAGGAATAGCCATGTATTTGCATCTTGGGCTGATGATGACACAAATTTTAGTGACAGTCTTACTCCTCGCCTGGGAAAAATCAGACATTTTGTGCACAATGTTATAGAACTGGCTGTAGGAGAGCCTGTAGAACATGTTTTTGCGTACATTGACTGGTTTAAAACCCCTTCAGACCAATTTGGATATCTGAATCCTGTATCAGTGTGGTCGACAAAACTGCAGAATGATGGGCCTGCTTCATTTCTTCCAATTCAAAGAATATGTGGTAAAGCAGCCTGGCGTCATGAAATGCACAATTCTCAGTGATTCATTGTTGCAATATCTGTGCCAAAGGCCTCGTTTATTTAGGATTGACATTTCATGCTCAGTGAATATCATTAGTAGGTCAGCTGGACTTCTGGTTATCCTTCATGACAGCCTTACTTGATTTTTAATTTAGAATTTATATCAATGGTTTTCATTTGTCAGATGCCTGTTGAAATTTACACCCGAGTGGTATGGTACTTAGACCTCACTCAGCTCTAAGCGCCCCCTAAAAAGCTCACCTGGGCCAAAGGTGGTCCTGTTGTGTACTGAATAGGAGATTTGTTTGGGCCAGAGGGCTGCTCTGTTTTTGCTTTATCCAGCAAACACTCTCTCTAGATTTCTCTGAGCTACAGTCAGAACCTAAATTGCATACATCCAAATTAGCAGTGTTTTAACATCCTTTCTCCAAATATAAGCATATTAATTATAGACTGTCACCTATATACCTTGTGTCAAGGTCACTGATTATGTAATAGTTCTCCAAAAAGTTAAAAAGATGGATATCACAAGAAGTATTGATCTCAATAGTACTGACCCCTGTGGCCTGCCAGAACTAATTTTTGCACTGTATGCCATTTCACACTTTAGAAAATACTGGAAGTCATAGTTCTTTGATGTAATTGAATATTTAGGTACATTTGTAGAGTTAGTTAGCACTGTTTTCACCTGTAGACTGTCCCAGTGATAATGATATATGGATCAGTTGACAACATTTCTCATGCTTAACAGAAAGCATGTGCTTTGGGAAGGAGAAAGTGTTGTTCTCTCTATTTTTGTGTTGTTGCAAAAACAACTTTCTCTAATGATATATGGATCAGTTGACAACAGTTCTCTTGCTTAACAGGAAGCATGTGCTCTCTATTAAAGTTTTTACAAGATTTGTCAATATGAAGCACTGAATATGTGTTGTATATTTTGTTATGACAGTGTTGCAAATGTTGCATTCTTTATTGTTCAGTGTATTGATTGTATGAATTGTAAATGAGAAATATAATGTTTCACAGTGCATTTACGCTTGGTGTTTTCATTGGACATCTCACATGAAAGTGTGTAGATTCCTAAGTATGTGTTTGTGGTGGTTGTACTGGTAGAGCAGAAGTATATCAAGTCGGATCAGATTATTTGCTGGCACTTGCTTTAAACATTTCTTTATCTCTTAGTAATAGTGCCTCAAGATTTATGATGTGCATAACTTCAACGCTCTTTTCTCATGGAATGAGTTCCCTATCTTGAATAGAAGAAAAGAGCAAACGACATACAAAGAACATTTTTTGGGGAAAATTCTGTTGTTACAGAACAGGAGGAGTGTAGAATTTGTGTAATTTACAGTAAATACTACTAAATGAAATGAACATATAACATATCTGGTTATGTCTCGACGTCAAGCAAGGTATCTGTTGCCGGATCCTTGGATACTCAGAATTAGGAATCCAGTGGTATCCGGTGCCGGATACTTGGACACCCATATTATAGTATCCAGTGAGGTATCCAGTGCCGGATCCTTGAACACCCAGATTGAGGTATCCGGTGAGGTATCTGGTGCCGGATACTTGGAAACCCAGATTGAGGTATCCGGTGAGGTATCCGGTGCCGGATACTTGGAAACCCAGATTGAGGTATCCGGTGAGGTATCCGGTACCGGATACCCGGATTCCATGAGGCATGCTTTCCGCTGAGGTGTCCATGCCGGATACCATGGATCTGGTATCCGGCAAGGTATCTGCCACCGGATCCCTGGACGCGTTTTGGGTAAGTGTCCGGTGGTATCCGGAAGGTATCCGGATACCGGAAACTGCATTTTTTTTGCTGTGAATGTGGTAATATTGTGGCACAATATCCGTCAACAATGGACAAATTTTGCATTTTCTCTATATCTTGTGCATAAAGTCCCGTTAAGTTTTATTTTGGCCTATTAAATTTTGAGGACAGACATTATTCCCATCTGGAGATTCGAACGCGGAGCTCAATCATGATCACTAGATTAGCCCACCGTCCAAGGTTCACTTGGTGTAAATAGAAAGGCAATCTATAAAGAAGTGTGGTAGATATTGAGCAAAGAAGCCATTTTTGCCATCAGTACTAAAGTCTCCCTGGTCCCAGCTGAAGTAAGTATATCCCACATGAAATGCAGTGTGCCTTCGCTATGTAACAGAACAGTTAGTTCAACCCACCGACTTTTATAATCTGACAACCAATTGACAACTAGGTCATTTAGACTACGAAGGACAAAAGTCAACTGTAAGAGCAGTCAAACCACGATGAAGAACAATCGGTCAGTGAGATGTGCTCACGTGAACTTAAACGCCCAAGAAAACTAAAATCGAGTGTTTCTGTTCTGTTCTAACGGTTTGATTGGCATTCTTGAAACTGGTGAGTAAATAAGAAACTCTATAGATTATTGAGTGATGAGTGAGCATGGTTTTACACCGCTTTTAGCAATATTCTAGGAATATCACGGCGGTCTGGTTTATTGCATTCAGCAACGTTTCTATTAGATCCTTGCACCGTTATCAAGCTAGAGTGACTAAAACCAAGTAATGAGAGGTATATATACATCATATGTTGATCATGTTCATTCATTCATTCATTCATTCAAGGCATGGACTGCATGGCCGTTCTCCTAGCACCGGTTTGGAGTTATCCCAAACTGTTTCAGCTCCTCCTGGACAAACCTCTGAAACTTCTGGAATGTCATACATGATGTACGACATCTAAACAGTCTCCGTTTTCACGCGTGGAAGTTATTCTGATAAGATGTAAGGTTCCGGCTACCCCAAGTAGACCTCCTATGCCACAATCGTGCTCTAATAGCAATGGAACTCCCACAGAGGACACAGGAAGCAGCTTGGTATACCTTGCAAGTCAGCATCAGATAAAGATATCACAAAAGCGACGGTCGCGTGATGGTGAAGTCCACCATCACAGCATAGCTGTCGACTCCCATTTTTTAATCCCCATCGGGCCACGAGATGAGATTTATTTTTGCCATTCTTCCGTCCGTCTCAAAACATTTTCACTGACTTTTACTTGCGTGATCTTCAACCTAAATGAAAAGGGATGTACAACCTGGGGCCAGCAATGGCACCAGTCTGTCATTTCGCAGTAGTTCTTCCGCCATGTGAAAATGGCGAGAGAGACGGCAGCCGCCTCGGAAGTTGTGTTAACCTTTTGATTATTGTCTACTTGGTGTAAAAATGTTCTAATTCTTAGAATTTTGAAAAAGATCTCACCAAGACATGTGCCGCAACTGAGCCAGAACTGGATGCCAAGATCATCTAGAACCTTTGTCACTTGTAACAGGACTTGTGTCCCATATTGTGTCATTGTTGAAGTGGCCTGATGGTTGTGCCTCAGGTATTTCTGTGCCCCTTGATAATCACACTCAATAAACTCGGCCTTTGAGATCTGGACCAGGAAGTGTTCTACTGTGTGAGGGAGGTGGAGCCACATGCCGTCCACGAAGATGCCTCTGAGAGAGAATCTAGTCAGTACAGAAAATAGGACATGAGTTTCTACTGTACTGGCACACTGGTGCTTTAAGCAACATCTGGTTGTCGGTTTTTTTGTCACAAAAGTGACACAGTTACTTATGTATATTCAGAGGTCCGGGACAATTTGTAGAAAATGAAAGCAAATGACATCTGAAGTTTGCTGAGAAAACAATACGTGAAATGCTGGACTTCCTTATTGGGAACATCTATGTAAAATTAGGGGGAAAGACATTTAGGCAAGATGAACGGCATCCCCAGTGGCAACAACAGTACTCCCCTTCTTGCGAATCTGTATCCTCATGCATATGAATCGGTATTTCTGCTCGGATTGGCAAAGTCAAAAGCTTCAGGTATATCGATGATCTGATATCTTTCAACATTCCAATAGTCAATTTATGGCGAACAATATTCTAGCGGTTCCCGCCTTTAGTTTCTACATTTCACAATATTTTGGTTACAATTGAGCATGCTCTTTCTATCACGATTTCAAAGGGTGTCATACGACCCTTGCTCAAAAGTTGTTTGATCATGGTTTCAACATTCAAGACCTCAGTAAAGCTTTTAAAACGCTTTATGATAGACACGTGAAGAACATTTCCAAATGTGACGCATCAGTGACAAATTATGACGAATGCAATTCTCTGTTCTGTATCACATGTTCCTATTTTTTTCCAGGTGAACAATTGACTTGCCTGTCCGTGTGTTTGTGATGGTTGCCACCGGTGGGGCACGAAACGCTCACCTTTTCGCGAACACGATGTAGCATCACTATTTGATAGTGATTCATAAACACCTACTCATGAAATAGTCGGTATCGTACAATCGACTCTGCTTTTAGCAGACATTTATAATAAATAGGAAAGGGTTTTGTTGCTTTTATTATCTTCAAGTCAAATACCTGTCATATGCTCCAGCACTATTTCCAAATGTTAGATTTGATACTGTGGTACTCGATGGTTCCAGCGAACTGTGCCACAAGAAGTTGTCTGCCCTTTTGTAGAACACCACCAGGTGGATAAGAGGACGGACGTTTCCCAACTGGTGGATGAGGTAATGTGTAGGAATACTGGGAACACTTAACCTCTCCAAGGACAGCAGACGGGGGGTCAGGAGAGGTCACCTCATTAAGTATAATGTAATGGTCATTCAGATCTGGAAGGAGAGATCCCTGCAACAAACATGTTCAGCTGATATTTGCTACATTTAGGAATATCTGCTGTGATTCGTGATAATCATGATCACAGATCAAATAGTCAGATGAAGATTTTTATATCACATTTTCAACCATGACGTAAATAAATGGCGACTTTAATCAATGTTCCGACGTGGCATGGTATCAATTTTAATATTTGTTTGGGGTTGTGGAGTGAAATAAACCACAAATATTATGATAAACAGATCGAAGATGGGCATTTGTAATCCATAAGGTTATAACATCCATATCATCAAAATTTTATCATTCAATGACAATGTTCTGTATATTGTGTAAAATGCAGTACCCTTGTAGAATGGCAACACAGAAATGCGTTGTATTGCCTTGTAAGTACCTTTATCATACCTCCATATCATAAGGATGAGAACGGGTTGGTTCCCGTGATCTTGATAAAATACAGCCATTATACATGGGTTGAAATATATTTGATAGCTGGAGAATAAATCCATTATACCCCGCCACGAAGATTACAGGCTGCACGTTGGTTTCTGAGCTGGAAAATAAATTCCTAACGCGACATAGTGTTAACCTCAGCTCAATCGATCAGCTGCTTTCTATCAATTTTGAATTTGTTTTAATTCTTTTCCAATGGCAGATAAAAACATGTCGGTAAGATAAATTCGTTGTAGCAGTATCATGAGGGGTACATGTGTTTTTTGCGTCCCAACTTAGTTTTCATACCACTCGCATCTGGCTATGATTTACATTACTTACAATACCAAGGATACCAACAAAAATATGAGCTGAAGGGTGTGAAGACATTAATTATCACTAGTAGCAGATCGTAGAGAATATCTAAACATATTCTAATGAATGTTTCAAGAACGTTTGTGGAATATAGACATAGTGTAAGGATTAAAAAACTTCATAATACGTAACCAACAGTGCAAAGATTCATGTATTTGTCTTCTATTTAAATGATATGAATAAGACCATTTCGTTGATATAATACTGTTTCCTTCCTAAAAGCAATTATTGTTCATCTTAGAGCAAAGATGAGCTAACTGGACCGTTGAAACTGGTCCAAAATAGAAGGTAAGTTTAGATGAAATTCATTGTATTTATCTGTATTATCCTTCAATTATTTTTTCAGCGTTTAAAGTTTTTTTTACTTACCCTTTTCTCCCAGTCTGCTTCAAACACCCCGAGTGAGAGGACATTTCCAACCGAGCACAGGACACAAGGAAGCTTTGACTCACTGATGGCCAACCACGACCGCAGTACGACCGGCTCGATGACAAATATTGGGATACCTCGATGGAGGCACTGGCTGGTGAATGTGTTGACCAGATCCTGTTTTTATGAATTGTTTAACTCAATTTTGTGGTGAAGAAATGATTAAAAGATTAAAAAGATTAAAACGATTTGTTGCATACTTCAGCAGTTGAATTGGCGGTAGTCTGGCCATCTGGAGAAGAATTTGTTGAATTTATTTTAGCAAGTATCGCTGTGCTTCATGCTGATTGGCCAGTCCTCGCCAACAGTAGTATGGATGATGGGGGTATGATAACACGCCTCCCTGGACCAGTCTCAAGCCCTGACAATGCTTCTAAGGAGCTCTTAAGTTTATTTGAGTTATGTGATGATCCCTGGATCGTCATGTGTCAAGATGCCATCCTATATAAGAAACATTGTGATGAGAAAATATTCTCCAAGCTATCAGACTTCTTTACAGAATACATCTTCAGTCTTAATCCAGCACACTCATCCTTCATCTTACCTAATACCTTTTTTTATATACTGTGCTGAGCTATGGATTATCCTCTTGGGTATCCTCTTGTATTTCCATTAACAAATAATCTGTATTGTTATATAACACCCCGCCTCTATCCCCATATTGCTTTTTAAGTACATAGTAATAAAAGTAATAATTTAAGTGTTTTGACAAGTCAAGAATACACATACCAACGTTTACTGTTCTGTTGAATTATTTGACTTCCATTAAAGGCTGGACTAGCTATCAAATTCCTACATCTTTCTTCCTCATGAGATTTGGCTAATTTAACATCAACACGCTTCCTTATATTCTCCATAGTTTTACCAAATACTGAGTTATTCATGAGCTTATAAAGGTTCTTTTCGAAATCACTATTAGCCATCTTTCTTAAAGCTGTGTTCAGTCTCATAGAAGGCTCCATCCAAGGCCCTGATCAAACTTAAGAACTCTCTAGTTTTCTCTAGTTTCATGTCTAATGATAGATGTAACTGCAAAATTTTCTGGGGCAGAGCTTATCTTGTGTACAATAGTGCCTATAGAATGCCCAAAACCATTTACAGCTTAATTATTTTGCATTTAAACCTGATTAATTTGTGATATTGGTGTAGGGACATCTATACCTTCAAAGTTAAGTCCATCAGTTTGGGCATGGCACGAAGGCCTATGTGAGCATTTTTTAAGAATCTGCAGGAAATAAGGCCGATCTTAATGCCTATCTGAAACAGTTTTCATTATTATCTTTAAATATCAATTATGGCTTGTTTGTCTTACAATATGAGGGTAAATCTATAGCAGATCCACCTTACTTGCTATATCTAAATATAAAGTATCAATCTAACCACAACCCAACCTGAACCTCTACTTGTTCAAATCTTAACTCGACTGGTTCATCAATTTTACTAACTGGTAGATTATGAACAACTGGTTTGTTGTAAAGCAATCGCAATCAACTCAACCTTTCTTCTTTCGAGCATGACCACTTAGACCACGTTGTTTGGACAATGCTTTCAGCTCTTTAACACAAGCCATCGTGCTGTTTATCTACATGTGTATGCAAAGTCAATCTCTAAATGGTTTGTCTCAATGTATCTAAATTATTAGGTTAAATTAAAGTGTTTTTATGAGTATCTGATAACTAAACAATCATTTTGTGCTCTTCATATTACAAATAAACGCATGTGAGTATCATGCTCCCAACAAACATGCACAAATCCAATTTTTGTGCCGTGCATGAACATGTACATGCAAATTATGAATCACGGCCTTAAAATCGAGGAGATGTCTTCATGAATGTGTACTAAAAGATGACATTTTTAATTTCAGAATAAATAGAGTTTTATTGATTTTTTTGTTAAGAATAGCTGCTTTCCCCGATAGTATATATAAGCACTAGTTACTGATAGTGTTAATTTTGTGAAGCAAGATTAGATTTACTAAATATAATCCCTATCACATTACCGTCAGAGTCAGGTTGTTCAGCTTTTCCAACTTGAAGTGACGAATGACAGCACACACGCATCCCACGAACATCAAGGGACAGATGATGTTTAATATACGCTTCAAGCGGCTTTGGTTCAAGGAACGCATTCTAAAATAAATAACAACAAAACACTAAAGACAAGAATCACACTTAGTGAGTGAGTATGGTTTTACGTCGCCCTATAGCAATATTACACCAATATCACGGTTTCGCATATTGTACCCATGTCGGAAATCGAACCCGGCTCTTCAGCGTGACGAGTGAACGCTTCAACCACTAGGCTACCCCACCGCCCTAGAATCACACTTAGAGTTTGGTGGTCTAAGTGATGAGGGGCATAAACAAAAGTTCGTCTGAGAGTCCACAACTGTAAATTTAGACAATGGCGCTGCGTGTTCAGAACAAGTCAAGTCTAAACTAACCTTCCCCAGGTCTACTGTCTGGTCACTTGTATACCATAAACTTTTTCTTCAGAGTTGTGACTGTCTACCATTGGTTCACAACCAATGTGTACTTCATTTTGTTGAACAAGTTACGATTTCTGCATTT